CATTGCTTCCGATAGGCGATAGACCAGATCGGCCAGCATATTCTTAGATCGGGGGTTAACCTCTGATTCGTCGCTTTATTGGGCTCAGGATGAAGAAGTTAAATCAGCAAATCTGACTGCCTACCGCCATCACCGAGCTCAATTTTATGCGTAGGCCTACTTTAGGTTATATGGTTTTGTAATCTTATGAGTTGTTTTATTTTGAGTGTGGTGTGTTGTTTTGTTGTGTCTCATTGTTTTTGTTGTGTCTTATGTTTTTTGTGTCTTATTGTTTTGTTCTGTCTCATTGTTTTGTGTCTTATTGTAGGACCACTGCCACCGGGTAAAAACCCATTTGCAGTCAAAAATAAATAATAATAAAATAAAAATCTCAGGCCTTCTGAAAAGTGGTATCAGTGGTCATGCAGGACTGTTAACTGTAAGCATGGACTGTTGTGCGTGCGTACGTGCGTGCGTGTGTGAGTGAGTGAGTGAGAGAGAGTGAGCGAGAGGAAAAGAGCGAAGGGGTTAGACTTTGTTCCCGGACGTACCAGGAATAATATCCCAGACTTGCTATGACTTCAATTTACGCGAGTTACGTAATGGGGAACCCCAAAGTGGGGGGAGTGATGGCGAAGAACGGAATGCATTACGGCAATGCGAAAGTTGCATAAATATCCACGTTGTTAGTCAAATTCTAATCTGCGACCTACAATGAAAACAGACCTGAAGCAACAACGCTTTTAAAGTTCGCCCAATTCCGGAGAATTATTTCGACATGCTTCAAGCTTCAGATTAAAACAGTGTCTTTCTGATGTAAAGATATGATCATAATCACCCATCAAGATTATCATGACCCTTGAGAACCCTTGATATCTACAGCGTTTCAAGTGAATGCTTGCCACATAGAATCCCCTGATCAAAACAACGACGTTTTTCTCGGTTTTGACGCCGCGTGGACTCATAAGTACATACCAAACTTTTGGGGACAGATGGAGACAAGATGTTTCTCTGAAACGTCGGTATCGTCCTACGAGTCTATGCAGCGTCAAAACTCACAAGTATATCATCATCCTAACCGCCTCATATATCACTTCACGCCAAGTAAGTCTTTACCATCCCGAGAAGTGGGTCGTTGAACCACAGTATTCTTCTCCAAAACACATATTAACCGGGATATCGATATATCGAAACCGCATCATAAGACAGAATGTCGAAAAAAACAACACGATCCAAACTCAATTAAAATGGAAGAAGGCTTGCCTCCGAATACATCGAAGTTCCGATCAATACCACGGATTAGCACAGAGAAGTTTTCCAGAAAAATAACATAAATCTCACGTGTAAGTACAGAACTTGACACTCTACCAGTTTAACAGCAACACTGGTTGTAGTCAGAGCTGACCTAGGGCAGAAGACTAGCTTCAACTTGTCACATGAGTGGATGGCCATTCCAGACCATTACGCGCCTCAACTGTGACGAATTAAAATTCTTGGCCGTTGTCTGCGTCTGGCGAATCACAATTTGTGACGTTTATTACATTCCACATAAATTCCACAGCGTAAATTTTCCGTCCCTTCGAGCGAAGGCTGAAGGAGGGAGTTCGTCAGAAAATTCAGTAGACTGTTACCATTTCGACACAAAGTTATGCTCTCTGCACTCAACAGGGAAACGGTTCAAAATATGGCATTACTAACTAACTAGATGGCTTACCGAACCTGAAGGTTCATCACCGAATTAACCAAAGCCCTCCACCAGACCCTGTCCTGGGCCAACGAAATCCAGAATCCTTCAACTCCTATTTCCCATAGATCCCGCCTGACATTATCCTCCCATCTACGTCTAGGTCTCTCCAGCGGCCTCTTCCCCTCAGGCTTCCCAACCAATACCCGGTGCACACCTCTTGTTCCATGCGCGCTACATGACCCACCCATCTCATTCTTCACGACTTAATCACCCTGACAATACTGGGAGAGCAGTACAGATTTTTAAGCTCATCATTATGCAGTTTAAAATATGACGTTACAGGAACAGAAAAAGCAGATTTGTTTAGTACAGATATAATAAGTGGATCCGTTCAGATGGTGGCATAACAGACACTGACGCCTATCCTAATACCGCCCATAAGTGTGGGTGGTCAGTGGAGCACCCTAATGGCAATGTCACGTGCTACTAGGTCACTGTACTATCCTGGGCAGTAGAATGACAGTTTTTTCCACCCAACATTGCCTTCCCAGAAAAATAAACCCATACGCCAATATATTTGTGGTTGTATTTCTTTCTTGCAAATGCATTTCACATTTCGACTAAACTGTTAATCATTTTCAGCTGATAACACATACAAGACCAGATGTTCTCAACCCGCGGCTCGCCGATACTATGGATGTCTGTACTTGACAACTGATTTCCCTGTAAGCAACAGTTTTAGCATCATGAATTTCAATACCGTCAATTCTTGTACATATTTCAACCAATAAGAGGGAGGCCACACGAAATCTTCTTCACCCCGTGCTTGTATGAATTCCGTTTCTAAGCTTCGAGTTTCTATTTTACGGAATTCAGACAATTCTTCCATTGAACGCTTCAAAGAATCTGATAAGTTTTCATAATTTTCAGTCCATCTAAGAGTGTCATTACGAAATGTATATAGTAATCGCTTCAAGTCGACACATCTTAATCTGGATTTTAGATAAGCGTTATGACGTTTAGTTTTCAATTGTAACGAACGTCTGCATACAGCGAGCATCACGTTTGCCATGTTCCAATGTACACTTGTTACTGATAATCACAACAGTACATACTTTTCTTTCGTCGTAGTCCACGTGGTAAATTTAACGTCCTTGTTAACGATTATTTGCCGCCGTGAAAGCTTTCAATCTTGGTTAAACACGTACACAAATTTGCCGTCGCGCTTAAGAACAGTACATAAATATGCAGTGGCGTATCAATGTAAGAAAACGACCTAGTGAGCGCAGAACTTGACATTTCGTTGGGCTCATAAGCCGGACGCTGCAGCTGTGTACAAGAAACTGAAGATCATGTCCAGACTTGCAGCCGTTTACTTTTATAAGTGAAGACAAAGCTCTGCACGTAACTCGTCAGTTACGTGGTCACCTTTACCCTCGGACAACTTTCTTCCGGGTGAATAACATTCGACAGGAGGCCGGTTGGCCCACAGAAATGGTCTTGACGCAGTGGGAAGAAGGAAGGAAAAAACGGACAGGACTCTAACCCCAGTCATTCAGCCCGCTTTACTGATTGAACTATGCCGATTCCAAGGATGTTTCTACATATGTAGAACAACAAGAAACATGAAATAGTAGTAACCACCGAAATGCAAGTTTCAAGGTCACTGCAATATCGTGAAACGTTGCAACAAGAACGGAGCTCAGGCGAGTGAAGACAGCTCAGTACTCCCATCCGAGCAAGACTGTGGTGTTAACTGTTTTGTATACCTCGTAGTGAATGTTACTGCCCCGTTTGAAAACGTTGCGACGTTTAACTTGTAACTCAGAGTGCCAAACTGTCTACTCTCATGGAACTTGTATATTTTCTTAAAAAAATAGCAAATAATCACAAATTTTATGGGATTCATATCAAGTAACACAAAACATGGACTTTCGAGCACAAAAGGCATCCACGCCCTCCATTCATTTCGCCCACATACATGGACGTCAAACAAACTGTCACTACATGCGATTTGAAAAAAATGCTATGTTTCTTGCTAGTTCAGGATAATACTCCCCACATGAGTCAGTTTGAGTAAATTCGGTTTGTTGTGGGTACAGGATAACAGAATTCTTTTTAACATGCCACGCGCAATTTGTACGTCAGTTTTCACATTTTGATAAATAATGCCACAGTATTTTTTCTGTCTATATTGTGTCACAGATAAACAGGCGGCAAGCTTATTTTGTACAGGTTCCATATTTGCGCATTTTGTACCAAAATAATTTATTTAAATAAGACACCACGATTCATCTTCGTAGTATGAATCAGATGATTCATTCCGATAACAGTCTTCCTTATTTAATTTATAACAAGTTCACATGGCAGATATATGCATATTTATGTCGCATTTCTGTAGACTTTAATGTGCGAAACAAATTCTGTAAAAACAATTTTTTTCAGAATTTTTCACGCACGCACGCACGCGCACACACACACACACACACACACACACACACACATATATATATATATATATATATATAAAAATAAAACTCAATTCTAAATAGGAATTTTACACGTGAAATTTCCGCGGATATAACCCAAATATAGCACTGTTGTTCATCTTCCGTCTCTCTCATTCCTTCCAACGATGCTACAAACTGGTAATATTTTTAAACGCCCAAGATTGCCCCAATAAGGAATTCTCTACGATTCATAAACATTTCCGTCCAAATTTACATTAGTGAGTAACTACATAATCTATACAATTCACAAAAGTTATTTGGGTCACCAAGTCACTAAGGGTGAGATGGGCGGGGCATGTAATGACAAATGGAGAAAAGCTATTTGCATAAAAATTGTAGTCGGAAAACCTCCAGGGAACCAACTTGAAGCCCTGGACATAAGCTAATACGAAATCATTGCTAAAAATTAAGAATACGTAAGGAAGTGGAATGTAAGCAACTGTCTCGAGATAAGCTAAAATGGTGGGATCTCGTCAGAATTATACTGAACCTTGGGTTCAATAAAACATGGAGAATTTCATGATCTGCTTAGGGACTAGAAGCTTCTCATGCTACATGGATTACATCATTCAAATTAGGATTTCCGTGGAATCTACTAGCAGGTGATTGTCTTTAACAGTCTGACATTAAAAATCACTCATCTAATACTTCTTGCTGTAGATATACCAATAAAATGGACTTCACTATTGCCATGTGATATCTTAACACTGGAACGGACTTGCACACACGTGCACGTGAACTGCTTCTAGGTTATAACTAATTCCAACAAAAAGCCGGTTTCAATTTATTTGCCTAGGAAATCAAAATGCTGCATCAAGACTTACCTTAGATGATGCTAATTCGCTGACCGAAGTAAAAATACCAGGGAAAATTAAAACTGGATGCACCACAGGGTAATAATTTTGCGATAGCACTATTCTCAAACGACGTTTATACTTTCTGACCCACTTCGCCGGGTTTTCTTCTGAATTCGAGATTCAACTATCGACTTTTCGCGCACTGGTAAGCGGTTGAGAGAGTTACAAACCAAATAGATCAGAGACGACTAAACTAACTACTATTACCTATCTACACACAGCTTGCCTCGGCGGCTCCTAATGGCCGTCTGATTCCACAACAGTCTTCGTTGGCAGAGAACATGGACTACAGCGGGCCTTGCCCCCTTTCCCTGCAACGAAACTCTCTGAGCTGAATGACGTCACACACAGTACTTCCCTCTTTCCCCGCCTGGAACGCTGTTCGCGTCATACAGACGACACCCCTCCGGACCGGCTTGTTGTAGGCTTACCTGTGAGATACTCCCTTCTACTACCCAACTACAATACTTTTTCTCCTCAGAATCGTTCGGTCCGTATCCTAGCCAAGCAACAGTCAAGTTATTCTGCTTCGATAAACGGCCTAGCACCCATAGGAATGAACAGATAATCATGAAAACTGGGTTAAAAATGATACCAACTGATACCAACCATTACAATTCCTAATTAGTGCATTTAGACGTTTTCTCTTCTGTCTTGTAATTCGTACTCACATCTTGTCTGAACCTAAAACCTATACGATTTTTAAGACAGCATCGCCATATACAATTTCAAAGCAATAAAAGTAGCACTGCCATCACGTCATGTTGAATTAAGAACTACAAAGTGGAGACGCTTGTAGTTGCAATGTCGGCGTTTGCACTGATTTTAATGGAAATCAAAGCGAGATTCCAGGTACTTATGGCGGCGAATATTGGGTATTGCACCGAGTAGTGTCGCAAAAATTGACCAACGATTCAAAGGTTTTTACTGCCATAATCACTATCTCCCTGATGATGGTGGTAGTAAGTACGTCTCAAACGTCGGTCAATTTCTACAAGACTACTCGGTGTACCATAACATAAGATAGTCATTTTATGGAAATCGATTCACATACATGGACAAAGGGACATGATACACCTTAATACTTGCATAACAGAAGTAGTTTTCATCAGTTTTCATAGAAATCTATCAAAGGACTCATAATGCACGCATAAACGTTCAATTAGGAACATCAATCCTTAAAATATTAAATTAAATTTGCACATGGTAACACTTTTATAACAGAAGTACCTTATAGGTCCTGTTCAGTCTCTTCTGAATATTTCAAAGGACAAATTATTTCCGATAAAGTTTATTTATAACTTCCAATGTAGTCTTTAAAATTAATACAACTGAAATAAGAGGTTCCACACAATACTCAGATCCGCGACTGATGTCGGTAAGGCAGTTCGTGCGATGTTATTTCCGGAGAGTTAGATGGACGGACGGACATGACAAAATTTCGGGGTGATTTTCTGCTTTTTGGCCCGAAACGCTCCAAACAAAGAGTGAATTTGTTCCCTATGCCAGGCCGCTATTTCATTGGAACGAATTCCGCTTAAGGTACGTAGTGAGATAAAACAAGGTGTATCCAGTTAGAAGACAAATACTGAAATGTGCACGTCGTCACATTCAGTTCTAATGATCAATTTTAATTAATACTGCGATGAATGTTTATCGAAGTAAATTAGATTTTATTTTACTTCGCTTGCGAAACGTTTTCACGTTTGTCCAAGTAAGATAAAGCAGTCCGTTTACGTAAATTTATTTGAAAATATTTGAGATAAACTCAAATAAGTATTACGCTCTTATGTGAGTTAGTCGTTAAAATTGTCCGATCCAAATTAAAATTGATACAGCTCGACAATATGTCGTAAAATTCTCCAATGTCAACTTGTATGAAATTATCCGTTCTCGGGTTGTTTCAGACTTACAGAAGGTAATTCCATTGTAGAATCAGTGGAGTACAGAGAAATATGATCATAGAGAAAGAACTGAGTCAAAACAAAACACAAAATATAATTGGTGAATATTTAATTATGAAGATGGTTCTAAATGTTTCGAAACATTACCGATCATTTGTTTTCAACGCTGTTGTACAGACACAAGGCTGTCACCGAGCTTACTGTTATGACAATTAAGAATACGATTTGATGTTCGTTTCTAAACATCTTAAGGCCAGCCATTAAACAGCATCACAAACTAAACTGGTTTGAAAATAACGTAACTGGTTAGCTTTTTCTGAAGGGTTGTGCACGATTTTTCACCCTTAATCTTAATTTATTGCAGTTATAAACACATAGTTACAAAATGAAAAGAGTAACTGCAAGACCTAGAGGTAGATGGGAGGACAATACTAAAATGGACCTCAAGAAACAAGAATGCGAGAGTGCTAACTAGATTCATCTGGCTGAAGATGAAATCCAGTGGCCGGTTCTTGTGAACACAGTAATGAACCTTCGAGTTCCATAAAATTCGTGAAATTTCTAGATCATATTAGCGACTAACAGTAACTCTAGAAAGACTGTCCTCCATGGACACACTTTCTTCAGAATTTAGAATAGTTTTTTGGGTTGCTATTACATTCAGTGGAAGTAAGGCCGGCGCACACTACATCGAAGCGAACCGAAAGAGCGAAAGTACTTCCCGATATTATTTTCTGAAATGTTTCGCAACTGAAAACTCAATTCAGATCTGCGAGGCCTTGTTGGATACCCAACCTCAATCACATGCTCCCAAATTAAAAACATTCTCCATTTTACAAACACCAACATCGCGTCCACCCCCGAACGGCTGCTGCTGTGCGGTGTCGACAGCGGCACCTTCGAAGTTAAGCAGTGCATTTCAGTTTATTCATCAATTATATAGCACACAGGTTATGAATAAAAATAAAATGAATTATTTGCAGCTCGCTCAAAAACTACAACAAAGTTCATGGAAAAAGAAATATAAAGTGACAGAATTATCTTTCGTAACAGTGGCCCCATTTATTAACCATTTGATGCCGAAGTTCGTCTAAATATCATTGGAAAAATTCAGTCCGTACCGCACAGAAAACATTACACTTCACCATTACAAAGATCAACCGGTTAATGCATTTAAAGGATACGATTTATCACTCTTTACTCTGAGAATCAAACGAATCCGACAAATGCATAATAAATAGCTACTGACTGTTAAAGCACGCAAGTGGTATATATACTTACCACCAGGCTTTCAAGGGTTTAAACTGTTTCATCAAGAATTTCGGCTACTAACATGTCTTGTTGCTTTAGAAACTCGAATCCCACACTGTTTAATTATTTGATTATAAATAATGCCGTAAACAAACAAGTCAATGGGATAAAAAATTGAATTTGTGTTAGAAAGAAGACAAGCATAATTCTCTTCCACATAGTTCACAAATGTAAATGTTATAAGCAATAATAAATACGATGCCCTTACCTCACTCTTTCTTCAAGAGGAAGAGAGCTCGATGTCCACCGGCAAAATAAAATGGAGAGTGAAGGCCAGTGTCAAGAATTTCTTAGTAATTCACAGAAGAAAAGTACTTTGGTTAATGTACTTTGGTTATTGTGAAAGACTTTTAAAAACACAAAAGCATCTCGTCTACAACACACTTCTCCTACAAGCGTTTCACAGCTCAGCTCTTTCCACACTAACGAAAGCGGATTGTTGACAATGCCGAAGGAAACTATGACGTAACAATTAGTAAAGGAATGGAGTGTAATACGGTTTATTCAGTCTATTATACTGCATGCTCGGTCAATATTGTTGCAGTTGTGGTTTAGAAATTCCAATACTTCTTATTACATTGTTGTATACGCAGGTGTTCATATAAAAGCTGACCATTGCCGAGAAAAATGTTGAAGACTGAAGTGTATTATTGAAATAACTTCAAAAATTTTAATTAGTGACAATGTAGACTTTGGTTCGAAGACTGAATTTAGGTTTAAGTAGGTATATACTGTCCTTGAAAAATTTACGAGTTTCTAAACTGATAATATGATTTTATATCGATAAACAATTTCACATCGGTTAGTCACACATTAGTGATTACGAGATATGTCTGTTACCTAGTAATCCAACCAACAGTTATTTGGATGAATGTACACTAAAGACTGGAGTAAGAACTGGAAATTCGTGGTATATTGATACGTACAAACACCTGAATTATTTCGAAGATGTCTTCGTCACAGCATTACTTTATTATTTCCAGCGTTCTTATGATTCATATGATGTCAATAAGTTTCTTCGTACAAGTGTTATCCCATTATCTAATCATTTCATTAAACGTAATTTGTGATTATGATAAATAGTTTTGTAACTAGACATGTGTTTTTATTAAGTGACGGCGAACTGAGTTTCATAACGATTTGCGATTTCAAAAACATGGAAATTTTAAAAAGCAGCCGAAGCCTTTTCCAAATTTCTATCTTGCAAATTAAAATATAATGGCTGACTGAACATAAGTCAGACTTACTGATCTCACCCGTCCTACAATGCAGCACTGTCTTTTGGGTTCTTGCGTCATGCAATCTTTTCGCTGTTTCCAAAGAGCACATTGTCTTCATATTCAGGGGCACCTTCAATACTGATGACGGAGACAGTTTGTTTGTCCGAAACGCTGGTATGTAGGCAAAAGATTGCATTGCGCAACAACTCTTAAGACGGCACTCAATACACAAAAATCTGTAAAAACATCAAAAACCACGTACTATACTTTCATAGTTTCTTAGATGTAACAGAGAGTAGCCTGTTATGCAAACTTACAGGCTGAATTCTATCACACGTTGTCTTCCCGTCTGATTTCTAAGAACCTGAAAATTAAAGTATACAAAACAATAATTTTGCTTGTTCTTTTGTATGGGTGTGAAACATGGTCTCTCACTCTGAGGGAGGAACACAGATTGCAGGTGTTTGAGAATAGGGTGTTGAGGAGGATATTTGGGCCTAGGACAGAAGACGATGGGACATGGAGAAAACTACATAATGACGAACTTAAAAATTTATACTCCTCCCTCAGTATTGCCAGGGTGATTAAGTCGAGAAGAATGCGATGTGCGGGGCATGTAGCGCGCATGGATGGGACAAGAGGTGTGCACCGGGTATTGGTTGGGAAGTCTGAGGGGAAGAGACCGCTGGAGAGACCTAGACGTAGATGGGAGGATAATGTCAGGCGGGAACTATGGAAGATAGGAGTTGAAGGAGACTGGATTTTGTTGGCCCAGGACAAGGTCCGGTGGAGGGCGTTGGTTAATTCGATGATGAACATTCGGATTCGGTAAGCCATCTAGTTAGTTAGTTAGAGTACAGCATG